AGCATCACAACCTGCATCACAACCAGAATCACAACCTGCATCACAACCTGCATCACAACCTGCATCACAACCAGCATCACAACCTGCATCACAACCAGAATCACAACCTGCATCACAACCAGAATCACAACCTGCATCACAACCAGAATCACAACCTGCATCACAACCTGCATCACAACCAGAATCACAACCTGCATCACAACCAGCATCACAACCAGAATCACAACCTGCATCACAACCTGCATCACAACCTGCATCACAACCTGCATCGCAACCAGCATCACAACCTGCATCACAACCAGCATCACAACCTGCATCACAACCAGAATCACAACCAGCATCACAACCAGAATCACAACCTGCATCACAACCTGCATCACAACCTGCATCACAACCAGAATCACAACCTGCATCACAACCTGCATCACAACCTGCATCACAACCTGCATCACAACCAGAATCACAACCTGCATCACAACCTGCATCACAACCTGCATCGCAACCTGGATCACAACCTGCATCACAACCAGAATCACAACCTGCATCACAACCTGCATCACAACCTGCATCACAACCTGCATCACAACCAGAATCACAACCTGCATCACAACCTGCATCACAACCTGCATCACAACCAGAATCACAACCTGCATCACAACCTGCATCACAACCAGAATCACAACCTGCATCACAACCAGAATCACAACCTGCATCACAACCTGCATCACAACCTGCATCGCAACCAGCATCACAACCTGCATCACAACCAGCATCACAACCTGCATCACAACCAGAATCACAACCTGCATCACAACCAGAATCACAACCTGCATCACAACCTGCATCACAACCAGCATCACAACCAGAATCACAACCTGCACCACAACCTGCATCACAACCAGCATCACAACCAGAATCACAAACTGCATCACAACCTGCATCACAACCTGCATCACAACCAGCATCACAACCAGAATCACAACCTGCATCACAACCTGCATCACAACCTGCATCACAACCTGCATCACAACCTGCATCACAACCAGAATCACAACCTGCATCACAACCTGCATCACAACCAGAATCACAACCTGCATCACAACCAGAATCACAACCTGCATCACAACCTGCATCACAACCTGCATCACAACCAGCATCACAACCAGAATCACAACCTGCATCACAACCTGCATCACAACCAGCATCACAACCAGAATCACAACCTGCATCACAACCTGCATCACAACCTGCATCACAACAAGCATCACAACCTGCATCACAACCTGCATCACAACCAGAATCACAACCTGCATCACAACCAGAATCACAACCTGCATCACAACCTGCATCACAACCTGCATCACAACCAGCATCACAACCAGAATCACAACCTGCATCACAACCTGCATCACAACCAGAATCACAAACTGCATCACAACCTGCATCACAACCAGCATCACAACCTGCATCACAACCTGCATCACAACCTGCATCACAACCTGCATCACAACCTGCATCACAACCTGCATCACAACCTGGATCACAACCTGCATCACAACCTGCATCACAAACAGCATCACAACCAGCATCACAACCAGCATCACAACCAGAATCACAACCTGCATCACAACCAGCATCACAACCTGCATCACAACCTGGATCACAACCTGCATCACAACCTGCATCACAACCTGCATCACAACCTGCATCACAACCTGGATCACAACCTGCATCACAACCTGCATCACAAACAGCATCACAACCAGCATCACAACCAGCATCACAACCAGAATCACAAACATGCATCACAACCTGCATCACAACCTGCATCACAACCTGCATCACAACCAGAATCACAAACTGCATCACAACCTGCATCACAACCTGCATCACAACCTGCATCACAACCAGAATCACAACCTGCATCACAACCTGCATCACAACCTGGATCACAACCTGCATCACAACCTGCATCACAAACAGCATCACAACCAGCATCACAACCAGAATCACAACCTGCATCACAACATGCATCACAACAAGCATCACAACCTGCATCACAACCTGCATCACAACCTGCATCACAACCTGCATCACAACAAGCATCACAACCAGCATCACAACCTGCATCACAACCTGCATCACAACCTGCATCACAACCAGAATCACAAACTGCATCACAACCTGCATCACAACCTGCATCACAACCTGGATCACAACCTGCATCACAACCTGCACAACCTGCATCACAACCTGCATCACAAACAGCATCACAACCAGCATCACAACCTGCATCACAACATGCATCAACAAGCATCACAACCTGCATCACAACCTGCATCACAACCTGCATCACAACATACATCACAACCTGCATCACAACCTGCATCACAACCAGAATCACAACCTGCATCACAACCAGCATCACAACCAGAATCACAACCTGCATCACAACAAGCATCACAACCAAAATCACAAACTGCATCACAACCTGCATCACATGCTGCCACCATGTATAACCATTTGAATTTTGCCTCACACACATTTTTGTGTTGGTCAGAAGTAAAATTTTGATTGAATGTGGCCAGAATATCTTCTTCCACATGTTTGATATGTCACCTACATGACTTATGGCAAACAGCAACCCACAAACACGACTTCTAATAGCTTTCATTCACCGACAGATCCTCTCACATCGACTAAATGTCTCAAACTCTTGCAGAGCTAACTACAGACCGTTCGGCTGTATCTCTGAATATTGCACTCCTGTTTTTGTCTGTCAGTTTGGATATAAAGTCATGTCCTGATTTGCAATTGTGCCATACTCTTTCCATTTTGAGATCCTGGTTTGAACAGAGCTCTGTGATATATTTACAGCCTGTGATATCATTTTATAATCCAATCCTGCTTTTAACTCCTCCAGACCTTTCTTCCTGATCTGTCTGCCTGGTTGCTTGGACTACAAAACAGATGAATGAATGAACAATGAACTGAGTGTTTTGTCTCTGTCTCAGCTCTCAGATCTTGGATTTACCTGCAAACTATGCTCTGGGGTTGTTTTTCATTCAGCCTTGTTGGCAGAATGATGTGCAGCACACAGCACCTGTCCTGTCTGTTTGCTTAGCGTTTGTGCGCGCCCCGGGTGTGTTTGTCCGATGATAAATGAGGCTGATAATGACACTTTAACAATGAGTGCATTAGTGTTCCAGCAGGCTTTACGTCAGCAGCCTGCAGCCACGCTCTGAAAGCTGTTGACACCTGAATGCAGCGGTGGCAAAACTTTTTATTTATGAAGCACTAAAGCGCCGTCTGCTCCCCGAGCATCTGCTCTCCCTCAACTTCTGGCTCATGTTCTGCTGCTTTTATTGAATTATAAACTCAGTAAAGCTGTAGATGTACATCTTCTTCTTCTATAGCTGCTTTCACTCATAACAACTCCAGTGGCCATCAGGCTTTGACACTCCAGTAATGACTCAGGAGATGTTTTATGGACATGAAACAACTTTCTAACATAGAAGTTAGCGAAGCGGGTTCCTCCAAACAACGGGACGGCTTGTAAAACCCGTAATAAACCAGTAATAAACTTCAATGTATTTTATGGATAACATCTGTGAGCATTTCAGCTCCTTCTCGTAGGCACTATGGAGCATCGTTTACCAAACCCATAACAAACACACATCTTCTGTTAATACAGTCATGACTTTTATTGAAAAAAAAATTACTTTTTATGAAAGTTGGAATTAACATAATAAACTAATGATCAAATTTTTTATTTTTATTAGTTGTATAAGCAAGGTCACATAAAAATGAAAGACTATTCAAATTATTGTGGTGGACATTTTTAAGGCGCCACGACACAATACTTTAACCAGGTCTGTTCTGGTCATGACCCAGTCCAGATCAAACCTCAGCTGAGAGAGTTTCACATTTTACTCTCCAAGGATTTATTTTTTTTTTTTTACATTCAGACTAAAAATTTTTTAGTCATCAAAAAGAATTATAGTTTTTGATGACTAAAATTCTTTAGTTTTAGTCATCAAGAATGACTAAAATTAAAGAATAAAATATTGGAATTAATAATTAACTGATTAACTGACAGTAGAAATAAAATACTTAAACAGTGGAATACAATACAAGTAAATGCAAAAACAAGAAATTAATATATGAAGGAAATAAAATTCAAATCAAATTTAAATTAAAATACAATTAATTGAATAATTAATATTAAATGCCACTGCAGGTGTTTTAGTTGCTTACTAAACAAATAATCCTAATGAACGATGTTTTGAGAAATAGACCACAGATAAAATAGTCATTCTACTTTTCAGTAGTTTTCTTAGTAAATAAATTTCTAATATTTCTGACATAAAACTAGCATCAGTTGTCAACAATTAAGGCATTTAAATGAACTTAAATTTGCTCTAAATGTAAAAATAAAATAAAAAACATTAAATAAGCACGTATATATTGATTGTCGATATCTATCTCCAGCAGTCATTGGGCGAGTAGAGGTTACAGAATATATTTACTGAGAAAAACTTTGATGTACTCATTTCACATATTATATGTTTAGTGTGTCATATGTTTTGTGTAAGTTTCACCACTATGAGTATTTCAGGTTTAGAACTGAAGAAGATCAAATGTGAAATTTGGTCAAAAATTCTGTAAAAACTGTGACTTTCAATTTTGTAAATCAGTTTTAATAAATTATTCCAGAATCCTTTTTTTTTTTTTTTTTTTTCACAAAATGGCAACTGATACTTGTTGAAGAAACTTGCAAATATATGACTGATGCCTTCTTTACAGTCATTGTTGTGACGCCCATTTAATACATGTCGCTCTGGGTGGTGAATAGCATAACTAATTTCAAGTATAGAGGTTTAAAATTGAATTACCGAAAAACAGCTGCACGTATAAAAAACTAAAATGTTTTCTCATTCAGACTGAGCTGCCATATGCTCTCCGGTCTTGGAGGAGCTGACAGGAGGCTGTGAGGTAATAGTGCGCAGGAGGGGGTGTTGGTGTTGGTGGTGGCGGCGGTGGAGAGAGAGACGGGATATAGGACGGGCATCACACGGAGGTTTGGCTGCAGACTCGCCGGGGTCTCTTTCGCCGCCTCGCCCTCTCCAGACGCATCAGGTCAGTAAAACCAAACGCACCGTGCGCGCAGAAAACATCCTGGGAGAGGCTGCGGGGAGGGTCGCTTGGCGTTTTCTTGCTCCAGTGTTGCAGCTCGTGTGGTTTAAGGGAGGTGAGGTTTTTGTTGTTTTTTTGTTTTGTTTTTAAATCTAAATTATTATTGTTACTGTTGTCGGTGTGTGACAGTGCAGATGAGCGCATGCAGGCTGCAGGTATTCGCCTGATGCGAAAATCCAGGAAACAGCGCGGGATTTGTGTTAGTTCTGCACAAACTGCGGATGATTATACTCCCTCCTCCGTCGCCCACCTGCGTCTTCTCCCTCCGTCCAGGTGAAGGCGGATCCTGCCGCCATACCGCCTGGATGGGAGGACGTGGTGAGACAGGGAGGAGGCGGAGGAGGAGGTGGCGGTTTTTCCACTAAAAGCCATTGATGGGGAGAAGGCAGGAGGCCGGCTCGGCTCGGCTCGGCTCGGCTCGGGTCCTCCGCAGTGCCTCCACCGGCAGCCGGCAGCAGCATCTCGGCTGCTGATGGATGATGGAGAGTCTGAATTATTTATAGCAGCCAACAGCATTGATTAGCTTTATGTAATTCGCCCCCGAGCTGAGAGGGGGCTGCCACACTGGTCGGTGTTGTTTGGGCTTCAAGGAAATACGATTTGCGATCAATGGGTGCGTGTGTGTGCCACTGTGCACGCGCATCTACAACAAACCCTGTGTGTGTGATGGGAGGTGTGTGGAAATGGGTGAGAAACAGCCAATCACATGGAGAGACCTGAGCCATAGTAACTCACTCTGCAGCACTAAAAGAATATAAATTACACAAAAATCAAGGCATTTATTTACTTGAATTACTTACATCTGTCTCACCTTCTTTTATTTAGCTAAATAAATCAACTTTTTTATTTCTCTGTCTCACCAGCAATAAATTCAGTTTCAAGATCAGAGAACTGTTTATGTTAAGATCTTGATTTAATCAAAATATATTTTTCTTTCAACCCAGTTTGTCTTCTTGTCTCTATTCTTGTCATCTTTGTCTCTGTGCAATCAATTTTGGCTCTCCAATCTGCTGCTTGAACCAGATGTGACCAGATGAGATTATTAAATAAAATTTAAAATGAGTCAGGGGAAAGACTGAATGTTTCCCCCCCCCTTTGAAGACACTGATGCTGCAAAGGAGCCAGACTCACCCCACCATTTGTGTCCGCGTGGAAACAACTAAAATGAATCGAAAAGAGCACAAACGAACAGAAATAGCTGAAGCTGAATTGGTTTTCTCTCATACTTGGATTAAAGAAAGGGATTTTGTTTTGCTCTTCATTTTTCGGGCTTGGTTGTCGAGAACATTTTCTCAAGTCATTAAAACTCCTTGTTATAATTTAGAAAACAAATTATCACCACAGAAGCATAACTTTTATAAATCCATAAACAAGCCACTCTGATGGTCGTAAGAAAGCATAATAAATATTCACTGAGAATTAACATATTGATCTGAACTGTGTACATTTTTATAAAACATCCTCTATAACTGGCTTTAATTCCTTGGCTCTTGATTTATTTCGACTCTGTAACGCTGACTGTGCTCAAGGGTTGTTAAGCAGATGCTTCCCTCGCCCGCTGTTATGTTTTGGTAACACCTTCGATAAACTGTTAAAACCCTCGTGAGGTTTCTCAGAGCAGGAAACAATGTGACTGGAAAACACTGAAATCTGCATCTCTCTCCAGCACATACAGGACAGCGAGTAGAGTTTTTATTTGTTTTAATTTTAAAGGAAATAAAAGCTCCACATAGAGCATCACACATTTTCTTTATGTGGATTTAGTCCTAGCTGGGTTGGAGTCTGTTTTTATTATTTGTAAAAAGTCAGTACTAAAGTTGTTCTAACAAATAATAAGCGCAATATTTCTGTTGTCTATATTTTTTGTTCTCAATGATTGCTTATATATTATGTGATCGTTTGTCTAGGTGTGGTTTAGTGGGTTTTTCAGATAAATTGCTCTCTGCAGGTTTGCTGGGTTAAAGCAGAGAGTTTCAACAGGCCAATTTATTTCTCTTTGGCCATTCTGCATCAGGGAAGATAAAACATTTTGGCTCAGATAAACTAAACCAGCAATATAACATGATACTCTGCCAGCAGTTGCCTTGTTTTTCTGTCTGCAAACCTTGGCAAGAACGAAGGTGAGTAATTCTCCAAAGGATTGTGTTTTTATTTCAGTTAAACAATGCACATTTTACTGATCCATTCTTGTTGATTTGTCTTCTCAATGTTAGATTTGATCTGGCAATTCAGTCAAGCTAATCCTGAAACCTGAGAGCTTCTGTATTCAACCAGCATCGAGTCTTTGTACTCTTCTAAAAAACACAAACTTTACCGAATTGCTTAAATTTGCAACATATTTCTGACTTTTCTTATTTTTTATTTATTTATTTTTCAACAATTAGTTAGACTCTGGTTTAAATGAGAGCTCAGCAGTGAAGCATGCATCTTTTTAATCTAATCCCTGAAATAACGTGTATCAGCAACCAAACTATATCCCTCCATCTCAGAGCTGTCTGCTGTGTTTTGAGGAAAATATGCTTTCATTATCGGCGTCATAATGTTCTCATAACAAAAAAAATGCTGGCAGAGCTGAGCAAATGAATAAAGCTGTGGCTTCGATGGCTTTGTTCTTGTTAGCAGTGAGAGTTTTGAGTGACAGTAGCGCACAAAGGTTTGCCCAGTGTGTTGGCTTTCATGCTCCCGTCTGATGCAAACACGGTCCTCCACATATGAGCCATCTCGGTTCTGATCCACCGTCAGCGCACTTTTATCATCCTGCTTTCACTGTTTCTGAGAGGATGCTCCACAACTCACAGACTGAGACTGCATGATGACAAACGACAACATCTTACTAAATTAAAATATCATCAAAAAGCAAAACTCCAGTAGACACAGGGAGCCCATTACAACTTACTGCAATAATAGATTCAATATGAAAAACACACGAGTAAAAATGCCAGTCCCTTTATACAACATACAGTATCCTCTAACTCCAGCTGAGGGGTTGGAGAAAATCTCAGCACTTCACGAGGAACCACTTGATAAAAAGACATTTCTAAGAAAGGAGTGGGTGATTAATTTTCCCAAAAGCTCACTGGGGTAACTGCATTTTTCACTTAGGGACAGATCAGTAGCTGAACTCAAATCTTTCCAGTAATATATTTCATAATGAACTCTGAATATGTTTTTGAACCAATTTCTGGCAATTGCAGTCATTGGAACTGAACAATAGAATTAAAACCAAATTGAAAAATGAGTGATTTTACAGTATGATTAGGTAAGGCTTGTCAAATATTATAAGTTTTGTGAAGAGATGTCTAATGTTTAGGGAAATAACATTTAATTCCTGTTGATTTTATACTGTGTAACACTGTGTGTGATCTTGATTAGATGGAGTGCTGTCGAAAATGTCAGTGATTCTCAATACAGGCTGAGTTATTGGAAACAAAAAGTAAATGTTTCAGTTTATTATCATATTAGTTTGGTGGAAAGGTTGAAGTGGTGTTATATTATCCAGCCTTTACTTAGAGGACAATGATTTTATTATCCTAGGCTGGTTTAAATGCATAGATTCTTTGCTCTCACATTGTAACGTCTTAAAATATTCAAAATCCTGAGACATAACTCTTACCTTAAACACAAGCTACACTCAGAAGAGGCTAAATTAGATACTGCTTGTCATCCTGTGTGCAACTGTGAGCTGGAAGAGAGCTTAGAGAGGTTTTTCTTTATGTATGATCTTTTAAAACAAAAGTAAAGCGCAGTGGAGCCTGCACCTTTGAGTTGTCAAAGTTGACATTTCAACAGTTGAGCGCTCCGACACAAAGTTGTGTAGCCAATAGATGGAAGATATCTCTAACTGTGGAGAAGAGAGTATCTGGTGTCTGAGAAAATGCCTCCCTCTCAAGATCCACAATGCAAGATCAGAATGTCGTCACAATTTTTGCTCTTTGTTTTGGTGTCAATAGCAAGTGTAGTTCTCGTTGCTTTCACCAAGAGGCAAATACACATTAGAGCTCATGGCATGGCAGCTTTGTACATACTATTTTGAAAGTTCTACCTCTTTTGCAGTGCATGAATGTGTTTCAGAGGGTGCTGTTCTCAGTGTGAACGCCTCAATACAAGCTGCTCTGGTAAACACTACATGTGTGGGTCGACACATGGAGCTTTTGGTGATATTGCCCTTCTAGAGGGGCCTTGAGAGTCTGCATTTATAGGTTATTGGGCATTAGTGCACACACAACGGTCCTGACATTGTGTGGACAGACAAAAAAATATATGTTTTTTATTATTTTGTTTTATTGAAGCTTTGTTTTACCAGGATATTAGGGGACAGGGGTTGGCCATTAGGCAGCAACAAATACATCACCAGCAATCTTAAAAATAAGAGCATTTAAAAAAAATAAAAGCAACAAAATTACTATACAAAATTAATATTTTAAGCATTTTCAATTTTGTATTTCTACTGATCACTACAAGCCAGTTCAGGTTGGACCAGGACGTCTGAGGATGCACTTCAGTTATGGGACTATTTTTTTCTTTTTCTCTGAACTGGACAATTGCTTTTTCTTTTGGCTATTTTATCATGATGAAGGGATGACGACTCTAAACATGCAAAATTTTTCTTTTATGTTCCAAATCAGTCCATTTCACCCACCCAACCTTTCTATATCCTCTCTGAGCGTGAGAACCATAACTCTGTCAGCGAGTTTGATCTCATTCTCTTAGGTATCTCAGGCTTTCGGTTAGGTATGTCTGTGTCTCTGCACATCTTTGTTCCTGTGTTTGTCTCAGCGTCCACCTGTCAGTCTCCTCCCACCTGCTCAGGTTCCCTCAGCAGCACATGAAACGTCTCAACTCCGAATCGATGAGTCATTCTGAAAAACTGAGTCATTGACGCTCCTGTGGCTGATTATGAGTCTCGCACCTGTGTTAGATTTCATTTTTGTTTCCCCATTAGA